ACACACAAAAAACACCACACACACAACACACACATACACACAACACACACACCACAACAACACACACACACACACACACACCACACACAACACACACACCACACACAACACAAACACCAACACACACCCACACCACACACACACACCCACACACAAACCCCACAAAACCACACAAACACCACACACACACACCCAGACCAGACAAAATAAAAAAAAATGCTGCGTCAGCCCGATAAGCCAGGAATAAGTACAACCTTCCTTTACCTTTGGACCAACCTCGAAACGGTGACCCAAAGACCATGGTCTCAAAATTTTAATTAGGTATTCTTTACAACGGTTTAACTATAACCTCGTTTTTTATATTTACTTTTAATCTGTTCTTCGACGCGAGCCACACGCATTTTTTTCGTCTAAACAAACGAAGGTCGGTATATGCATATACAATGTAGATACAATTATTTTTTTTAATGTTATTTTTTATTCCTTTATAAAACCAGAGTAGAAATAAAAGAAGAAAACCGTTCGCTTTAGAGGTGAATGACTTAGAGGATGTATTTTAGATTACCAATTTTATAGGTCGTAAAGTTGAGCCAAAAAATTACTATCGTCTTTATTCTGATTTTTTTTTTATTTAAGTTTTTGAGGTTTAAAAAGTTGCGTTTTTTGTTTTACTAGTTGAATCGCTTTGTTACCATATCGATAAGTCGTCTTCATTTACACGGGTTGTAAACTTTGGTAAGGTCAAAACCAAGATTTTACCCTATACTTATACCCTCGAAAAAATTTGTATTGTTACCGGATACGTCTCTTTCGTTTACCGCTAAATCTAATAGAAAAAATTAGTCTTATTGTTTCTAACTTTATCATAAACATATAATGCGTGTTATTACACCGTTAATGACCCGACAAAAAGATGCCCTTCACGTACGTAAAATAAACTTGGATATGCACCCTCATTTAGAAACCCCATTAACACCATTTAACCTTTATTCTTTATATGCCCAACTTTTTATAAAAATGCGTAGTAATACAAACCACAAAAATTGTTTGTTACCGTTTTTTCAATCGAATAACTTCGTGTCGGAAAAAATTTTAATTGTCATTTCGGTAAATTTGTATCCCAAATTGGGCGAACAAATATCAAAGGCCATCAATTAACTCGGACAAAATTAGTACGGTTCTTTGAGTGCCAAATCTTTTTTGTTGTTTTTCCGAATTATTTATATATCTTATACCGGTAGATACGGAAAAAATTTATTAACATGTACATTTAGAATAGTCAAAAGTTGTTAAAAATAGTTTACTTTCAAGACAAAAATACACCGTTATAAAGAAATATTTAATTCAATCTTAACACGACAATAGTTTCAAAAACCGTTAAAACTGTCTTTTTGTGTCGGGCTTTACGTCTCACTTATATTTATACACTAAGTGACGTTGGACCTACCGCGTATGTTCTTTGCGATTCATTTAATTTGGTATGTCCGTCGTTGTTTACGTCGGTTTTTCGTTGATACTCAGTACCTCAGTCGACCGTGTTCCGAATTCGGACAAACAGGTAAAGTAGTTACATGCCGGTTGTCGGAGTTATAATTTGTTTCAAAAGGTATTTATGTTTAATTTGCGGATGGGTAATGTACCGTTATCAGTAAACAGTTGCTTTTTTTATGTAAACTGTTGGGATAGACGTTAATTACCGGTTTACGTATGTAAATAAAAAAACAAAGTTCGAGTATTTTTTTTAGGAGTTGTACCTAGTTTGTGTTTGTAGCGGACTTACTTAATAGCAGCGCGGATTGTCGTTTATTCTTTGATTTTCAGGACAATCAGTGTTGTTGTTAACTTCGGGAGCGGTTCCCACCGGCGACCCGCCGTGTACAAAAAGTTCAGGTCTGGGTTACTCTTTGTAGGTTTTAATCGTTAACCTTCGTGTGTCCGAGTCGTGAGAAGAAACCTTCAACCGAGTCGTGTTACAGGGCGGTTTCCCCTTGTTGCCCTATGTGAGTTTTTTTTGTGTTTTGCGGTGGTTATGTAACATAAACCGTGACCTATAAGGAATCAAATAGAACTTCTTTATAACCTTCTATTCGTTCCTGATCTCAGTGCATACTGACACACACACACACACACACACACACACACACACACACACACACACACACACACACACACACAAGAACACACACACGAGCGACAAGTCTACCCGGTCCCCTATTTTCAGAGATCAAGATCATTTTCACACATATGTGGCACAAACACCCCCACAAGATCTGCAAATAAAAAAACACCAGCATTCCTTTTATATTTCCAACGCTGGGATACAAAAGTATAGGCACCACCCAAGTGAAGCGGGCACAGACTGGCTCGTGAGAATGAACGGTGGAGAAAACAAAATAATAGTAAAATTTAATGCCCTCCAATAGCTTTCATTAGGACAGGAATTCTCACCCCTCTTCCGCTCTTTTCAAGCGCTCAGACGTCCCTTCAAAGCCTGAATAGCGCGACAGGCAGGATGGCTAGACAGCAACTTTCAACTTGACCTTGGCCTCCAGCCGCGTCTACTCCTATGTAAAAACACAGGCATTGCTTAGTCCATGGCTCTTGTCGAGCTTTGCATATTGTAAACATGTGGGAACTAGTTTGTGAAATAGCATCTTAAACCAGGATGTAACATCCGTTTTTCTTTGTTTTTACCTGAAGTATATGTAGCTATTAAAAGAGCTGCTTGTATATTTGCATCTACAAATTCACGTAGGCCTATATGAAATACATCGACTCATACGGTTAGCAGTTTTTCATCCTTTACATTTGGTGTAGTATGGAAACGTATTCAATACGACGTATATAAACGCATAAGGGGGTGACATAATTATGTTTAGTTCCTTGTGGATCGTGTGCAACATTGGAACACAATATAATTGTACATTATGTTTGTATAACTGTGAATCCCCTCTTGTAAATGGCTGTAGAATGATACTCAGCTCCTGTTGCGATGCAGACAAAGGCTGATGAGTGTGCGTGCGTAAAGGCCTGTGTATATTAGTTATATAATGTAAATAGATGAGTAAAACTTTCTTTGTTGACCACCTTTCAATAACCGACTCCTATGTGAGCTTTACACATAATAATAAACATTTTTAACCATGTAATACAAGCATTTCGGATATATACAATCCATTGTGAATAAAAGTAGGCTATATATACTACTCTGATGTTTTATTTTTATTTTTAAGGAGTAAGGCACAATATCCATCTGAATTGAATAAGCAACGATAAAATATAAATCACCTAATAGGTACGGTCACCTTACCTCGCCGCATTTTTCTCCATTTAATTATCTGTAAGGGTGATGTTTACCGTCCTCTTTGCATAGCCCGGTCACGTGGTAACATCTGGGCCAATGACAGCTCAACCTCTGCGCTCTTGTGCGCGTCAGAGTGGCATTACTCTCTGTGAACCAGTATCTCCTTTTCTCAGTCTCAGGGCTTTTTAAAAAAGAGCCAGAAGCTTCAATGTTGCATGCCGTGCTATGACAACGTCACTGCTCCTCCGTCCGCGCTGGGTCGACCCCTCGGTAATGTTCCTCTACGACAACGGTGGCGGTTCCGATGAAGTGACCAAGAACATGGAGGGTTTTGCTGGTGTCAACTTTGCAGCGAGCCAGTGTAGGAATCTTATGGCGCACCCCGCGTCCCTGGCACCCAGCACGGCTTACTCTTCCAGCGACTTGCCCACCTCTGGTATGAGCGAGCCAGTGAAACAGTGCAGCCCTTGCTCTGCAGCTCAGAATTCCTCCAGCGCCTCTTTGCCTTATGGGTACTTCGGTAGCGGTTACTATCCGTGCAGAATGTCGCATCACAGCAGCATAAAATCTTGCGGAACACAGCCCCCCTCCGCGTATGGGGAAAAATACATGGATACCTCTGGCTCGGGCGAAGACTTCACCTCTCGGGCAAAGGAATTCGCTTTTTATCCGACCTACACTTCAGGTCCATACCAACCTGTCCCCAGTTACCTGGACGTTCCCGTTGTGCCAACGATCAGCGCGCCTTCAGAGGCCAGGCACGAGACCCTGATGCCTATGGAGAGCTACCAACCGTGGACTCTCGCAGCCAACGGCTGGAACGGCCAGGTTTACTGCGCCAAGGAGCAGCCTCAATCTGGACACATGTGGAAATCCTCCATGCCAGGTAAGCTTCATATCCCAGTGTCCAGTCTTTACTAGTCATTCCATATACTAGTTTGTTACCACACATGAGGCACTTTGTTCAGAATAGGGATTGTTAATATCAGTTGTTGTGTGATCCTGGACAACAAACAGCACAACAGATACTCTTGTACGGAAAGTAAAAAATAGTTTATTTTCCTTAAACAAAGGAAGTAAAGATATCATCTCGGCGCATTGTTAATTCATTTTTATTTAAAATAAATAACTATTTCCACAGAGTAGTCAAGCTTATCTGCCCTATTTTTAGGGATTTTACGCATTATTCTAGAAAGAAAATCTCGAAATATATTACATTTTAAATCACGAAATGTGTTGCTCTGTTTTCAATATATTTGTTCAATTATTGAAAGAAACATATTATTTTGAGAGATAAATGTGAAGCTAAACCACTTGTTGTTGAGAAGCAGTTCATAACATGTTGTCTATTCTTTTCCTCAGACGCGGTGTCCCATTCCGGAGGAGAATCTGGCTCTTATCGACGTGGAAGAAAGAAGCGCGTGCCATACACCAAGGTGCAACTGAAGGAACTTGAGCGCGAGTACGGCGCCAATAAATTTATCACGAAGGACAAAAGGAGGAGGATTTCTGCCCAGACCAACCTGTCTGAGAGACAGGTCACTATATGGTTTCAAAACAGACGCGTAAAGGAGAAGAAAGTGGTCCACAAATTGAAACCCATCAGCTAGTTTCTTTTTTCTTTCTACGGACAATATCTGGTGGAGATAAACTACCACACAAACTACCACACACACACACACAAACACACACACACACACACACACACACACACACACACACACACACACACACACACACACACACACACACACACACACACACACACACACACACACACACGCGCGCGCGCGC